TAATATTTTTTCTATACGATAAAATTTTCAAAATTACTATTGAACAACCTCAAACTTGCGAGATTTTGGTCTAGTAGGAGGTTAATAATTATTCCTAATTAATTAATTTTTATTTCAAATCTAGTGTTATTTTCCAACAGAACAATACCAAAACCACTATTATAGCATGAATGGTTACTCTTAAATTCACGATTGTATTTACGGAATATTCAAGTTCAACGCTTCAATTGACAATTTTGATGACGACTTCACACTTCCAATTATTTTTGCACAGGCCCCCCTCAATGCAAAAAATGTTACTTTTTCCGACGGAAATGTGCGTAGAAAGACGTAAACATTCTAATGCGCGCCGTTACGGGTTAAAATTACTATTAATTTTACGTGTTTTTTCACGTTCAAAAATTCTCTATACTCCACCAAGTATGGTGCAGTCGAAATCATATTTTTCAAAACATCACAGGGCCAGGGATGGAATGTATGACTGAAAGTACATGATAACCCAATACTAAGCCATTATAAGGCAGTTTATTGTAGTTCATTTCCCGTCTGAGTCACATATATGACTGGCGATTTTATAATCGATGCTATTTATAGAACTGGCATTTTCAACAAAGCTGGAGTCCCTTTTTTCGTGAAATATATGACTCTACTATAGAACATTAATTGTAAAAGACCAATACTTCTACCATTTTTTTTTGTAGATTGTGACGGCCAGGAGATTCAAGCAAAATCGAGGTTAAAGAACATTATACACATCAGTGGGAAAATACACGAAAAATGAGTCAAAAGAATGATCAGTCAAGATAAAATCTGTACGGGGTTAAATTTACATCCAATATTATCGACCAACACAATATGATATATTGCTACTATGTCATGAGATAAAGTAGTGTTTCAAAAGAAAAAACACAAATTTATCGCAAATAAATCTTTTGTAGAATATTAGAATGAGCTAAAATGTCGTAAATAGCCAAAATCTGAGATCCATGAAGCACATTTGAAATTTCTTAAAACATTAACATTAATTAATAATGATGATAATATACACACTAAATGAAATATTTGCGATTTTATAATAAGACAATTATAACAATGAGTAATAATTAAACAACCAAATGGCAATCCAATCAAAATATTCTCTACATGCACATAAAATATTGACAATAAACTAACGAAAATGTCAGCCTACGGGCCCCAATGAAATTGTGTGATTGCAATTCAATGCACCACAATAATCTTGGAACTATAGATTAATTCTAAAGCAAAATCTTCCACAATCGCAGTTATGTTTGGTTAATAAAAGTAAGCAAGCTTAGATAGTTTCTCACTAACTTATAAATTATGAGCGGATATATAAAATGGGATTTTACCTACAGACCAAGTTTACGGATTTATACTAATCACTCATTTAATTCGTTTTTTTTGGTAACTGGAGAATTAATACTGATTTTAATAAATTTGGTATTATGTATTAATTTTAGATATCCGAGTCACATAGTTTTCACATTCAATTTGAAATCCATGCCAGCATTGGTACAGGATGATTTCTACTCTGATTTACAAATCTAAGTTTAGAAGTCGTAACCGAAACGGTCAACTTGACAAAATGTAAAAATAATTGTTCTCAGTACGCCAAGATTAATAAAAAATTGCAACATCGGTATTTATGATTTTTGAAACTCTGATGAGAATTTCCGAATTTTGATTGTTGAAAATGGGAGAAATAGGTTTCTAAGTAACAATGTGTGTGAATTTTATTTTCGAGTATGGTCACAGCTCTATTAATGGTACACCCAAAACACATTTGATAATTTATGATAAAATATCCGATTTTTATGAATATCTCTGTACTTTTAGTGTTGAGGCCAACATCTAATATCAACTCATCGGCAAGGCAATGTGCACAAAAATTATAGTGAATGACCCCCCCCCCCTCCCCAAATAGAAGTCAGGTCATTTGGAACATAATCTAGAGAAAACATAACTTTCGTATAATGCGGCCTCGATTACCTAAACTTTTGGGTGCAATCATACACCAACATAAGTTAGAGTGATGAATAAAAGTAAAATTTTCGAGAATTAATCATGAAATATATGGATTATGTTTTCGGGGGAACTCTTGTACATGCTTGATATTCAAACAACATTTAAGAAGACTCAGAAACCAACAAATTGGTCCCAATGTGATAAAACATAATTGTTCTAGAGAAAAAAATAAATCCAATATTTGGAGCTTGAAGTCAAAAACTTTACTTTTTAGAGTTTTTTTGGTAAAAATTGACTGATATCCTGTATGCATTTTTAACCTTAAGGAGTCATGAAAAATAAAGAAAAAGTATAGATATCACTATTTGAAATGCTTCCTTATAATTGATATTGAAAATATAAATTGTGAACAGGTTGTGAATATACTTTGGCTCTGTCTAGATATATTCGGTATAATATCATTTATTAAAATCTTCAAAGGCAAAGAGTCAAATGAGAATCTCAAGTTGTCGTCGATAAATGTTTCAAATTATGACATTCACAAATAAAAATATTATCAAATATTTTTCGCGAAAAAAATACACTAATTATTGAAAATGAATCGCTGTCACCCTATAACAATTTGGTATGGACCTAATTTGAAACTATTCTTTGCTACACCAACTTCGTACAAATTTCGTTTGGGCTGCGTCAGTTCGAGATGGAAGCAAAATCAAAAAATTCTTATGAACACAAAAAAACATACACATTAGTGAAAAATTACACAATAAATGTCGTAGTAAAAAACATCAGGATCCATAGAGAATTAAGATTACATCAAATATTATTGTTTTTTATATTATTGTTTATTATTGTTTTTTTTTAAGTATATACCAAATTATCTATAACGCAATATTTTAAAAATCAGATTGGGGGATGTATGAATCACAAAAGGAACTTCTTGAAATACTAAGATTGAATAATAATGTATACATCGAAAAAATTATTTTTGTACTTTTTAGCTTTTATAAATTTTTCAAAATACAAATTTATAACTTGAGAGTAATAAGTGATGAATAAACAATTAACTGGGAAATCAAACAAAATAATCTTCTTATTTTTTGCAAACAAAATATCGGCAATAAACTAACAGGTAAGGCGTGTGGAAATCATGTGATTGTTTAGTCAAAATGCAGTTGAATTAGCTTGGAAGAATCTACTTTGATGACATGATGTGCCAACATCGTAAGTATGATTTATTAATAAAAGAATCTAGCATTCAAAACCTCTGTATATGGAAACGTTTTTTCTTCACATTTAACAGACTATAGCGCATTCTGACTTATTTCTCATTTTGGGTGACTTGGGGAGTAGTTTTACTTATTTCAATATGGTAGTACATACTACTGGTGTCGTTAGAACTTAATAACATGAATATTATCTAAGTCGTAAATTAGTAGAATTGTCAAAAATGTGCTTTCAGAGTTCAGTCACATGGACAATAGAGAATCCAGCGTCTGCTGAAGAAGAGTATTTGTACATCCAAGTTCTTTTCAATCAAAAGTTGCAATTTCAAATATAGAATTATACAAGTCGAAAATATATAATTAAAGAATTTATATTATGACTGTAAAATTTATGTGGCAAACTCATCAACTTGAAATAAAATTCATAAAACAGAAAAAAAAGTTCAGTTATTTTGTTGCCTTCCAAATGTGTTAAATTTAAGTAGTAATAACAATGAATAATAAAGGCGATACGCAAATATATATACATAACACATCTACAAAATTTTTATTGGTTTTTATTTTTTTTTGTTATAATGACACATAGGAATACAGATACCCACATCTACAAAATTTTTATTGGTTTTTATTTTTTTGTTATAATGACACATAGGGATACAGATACACACATCTATAATTTTTTTTGTTATAATGACACATATGGATACAGATACACACATCTACAAAATTTTTATTAGCTTTTATTTTTTGTTATAATGACACATAGGGATACAGATACACACATCTACAAAAATTTTATTGCTTTCTATTTTTCGTTATAATAAAACATAGTGATACAGATACACACATCTACAAAAACTTTTGTCCCTAATCTGTTATAATGATGATACGAAACGCTAAGTGAAGTGAACCAGTCAACTACAATGTGAACATAGCAAATAGGTTTCACAAAGTCATGTTTATACAGTGATATTACTATGATTTGCACAACAACATCCAGCAATTTTCATATGTTACTTCACTTAACCTGACAAAATCATCAATTCTTTTTTCAAGCAACGAGCAGTGATCCGAGGACGAAATTTTCCAATTCTATTTATCTATTACATTTGGTTCAATCCAAAAACTTTATAATTTTGCATATATGCTCTAAATTGAAGTTAGAATCAGGGAAAAGTTTGAGGGATGTAAAATGCTCTATTCAATAACAGAACAATTTCTGCCAGAAAACATTAAAATCGATAATCTGTGACATGAACTAAAAATGTTCATCAAAAAATGTTTAAACGTTTCAGTGAGTTTCTTTCTATATTTTCGTAATCTGACGAAAAGAACATAAATTTTGTTGTCGTTCCTTTTAAACACTGGTTTCGCATTGAATTGGGGTTTGAATTTCTAAAAAATAAAAAATAAATTAATTCATTGCGTGGCTTCGATGTGGATAAACGATGGGACAACATGTTGTGAACAATGAGCGTAAAACTATGATTCAGATTTTCAAGCGGTTTTAAATCCATGTCGATGTGGCCTAATCCAATCATTGGATTGTGTACGCATTGAATTGGGGTTCGAATTTCTAAAAATAAAAAAATAGATTAATTCATTGCGTGGCTTCGGTGTGGATAAACGAGGGGGCATCATTTTGCGAACAATGAGCGTAAAGCTATAAATCAGATTTTTAAGCGGTCCTGATTCCATGTCGATGTGACCTAATCCAATCATTCAATCGTGAATAAGAAAAACGTGTTGAAATACTTTTGAAGTGAATAGAAAAAGATGAATATGCGGTTAAGTACCCATGACTCTTTGTAATGGCGTTGTTAAATTTTCCACCTGATGTCGTGAACCACTCTGAACATCTCTTCTATTCGTACTTGGTTTCTTCGAATCTTTAAAATGAAACATTTAGTCATTTTTCGAGTTTATTCATATTATATCATTTGACACTTTGAAGCAACAGTACAAGATTACACATATCTATCACTCTTCATTCAGCAATATAACTGTACAAGATAATAAAAAATACAAAAATGGCAAAGAAATCTTTAGCACTGAAAGCCGCAACAATGATTAGCAGGATTCGTGAACTAAAGATTGAACACATGCATGTTCACTTCTTGAATGGAAATGATTTTTTTATCCCTATGTAGAAAAAGGCCGATAAAATGGCTTAATCATAATCTCGTTCGCGTACCAGTCCGTGTTGGAAATGGGATTAGTTAGCTAGTTATTTTTTTCCAAATGCATGGTGGAGAAAGACGTAACTGACCAGCGGATACGTAAACTACCCTACGGCGGCGAAGATTTTAGCATTCCTCTTATAATCATCTCCCAACTGATTCGAACCCACACACGGAAAGCAGAGGTATCCTTACCGTTCAGAACAATGCGGAACAAGTTGTATCTGAAGACTAAATCCTATTAATCTTCGACTATCACCCGCGCTAGTCACGAAATAAATATACCAGTACAGCATCATACATCAACCAAATCATTGAATTGAGGTTACGAAACTCACCACGAACACATTGTCCCATGGTATTTTCGTAAATCCAAGCTCTGACGGGGCTTAGTTTCTCCCACACATAATCAGGGCCATCAGAATATAGGAAAGGATTGAGGCTGCTGTTGATCGGAATAATAATCCAACCTACAAGAACGTATGCATCATATGGTATGTTGATGCCTGGATAGAGAAAAAGATAAAGTATGCATCATATGGTATGTTGATGCCTTTATAAAATGAAAGATATTCTAATATAACAGATAAATCACGCATTTGAAAAATTAAAATTCGTTCAAAAATTCAATTAAAACAAAATTGATTAATTAAGACGTTGATTTTATATGAAGTTGTAAAAGGTCGTCTCACCAGAAACTGTTAAGAATCCCATTACGCAGACAGGCATCCAGCAGAGAAAATCAGTGAGAATAATCAGAGTAATTTTTTTTTGCATTTTTATTGCCCTTTCTGCCTTTAATTTGTCGCTGACGGCAGCATTCTTTTCTTGTGTTTTCCTGAAATATTTAAAAAGAAAACAATAAACCAAGTCAATCAATTCATCTTTTGGACTGTCACTGTGAACCTGTTGACTGTTATTTAATATAACATCGAAAAAACTACGGACAAGGTTTTTCATGCCAGAAACGAGAAGAATTGTCAACAGACAAAAAATAGTTTGCCTGAACTATAGAAAAAGCATCTGCAAACGTACACTAAGTTCATGGTAGTGTTACTAATAAATGTGACAATGATGTCTGTCTTCTCCTTCCCTCCTGAGGTGTCGCTAAAACGATTTTTTATTCTAATGATGGATTTATTTGTGAAATGTATATTTTATCCAGCAGCAGCCATATCTGAAAAAATTAACTTCTTTTATATTTGATATATTTTCCAATCGATAATAATACAAACACACCTGTATATTTTGACGTATCCGATAAAGATGACGAAGAATGCCACAAAGTTTACGATCAGGATGAACAGTGAATACAACCAAGCAGTGTTAGTATCAGGGTTTGGGAGCAAAGTGGGAAGGCAAAACCCGTGAGTGGAGTAATATCCAAACCTACGTTCAACCTTGAATGTCGAATTCAAATCGCTGATTAGAGATTCTAGCAACGACCATGTTCCAAGTTTTCTAAATAATTAAAAAGGATTTGTTATACAAACGATATTGTTACAACACATGTTCAACCGCTGGTTGCTGGTATAAACCCATCACTTTATCGAGTGAGAATTTGGGCGGCTTGAACGTTCGTTTTTTTGAATCGAGTCTCCGGATTTTTATATAGGTCTTTAGAGAAAGACTTGTTAAAATAGAAAAAGTGCTTAAGAGACCTGATCATAATAAACATTAAATTGAGAATCATTTTTTCTTGAAAAATAATATAGAATACCAGTTCGTACTCACTTTTCTATAGCTGGATCATCTTCAAATCTCTGTTTTGTTAGAAGTGCACGAGACAAATTTTCAACATCGTTCTTATTTATAGTTGAATACAAAGGATTTCTGTCGTACCTAAAATATTTCAACCAGTCAACATGTCTGGTTTGTACTATGAAAGCTTATTCTAAACATGGAATGTGTGTTCAAAAAGATTAAGAGTTAACTTAAAATATCAAGTCAGTTCTCAATAGGTTATGATAAGTTTTATGGTATATGCCACTTTACCAGTTCTGATCAAGAATGTCGCTATTAACAATTAAATACTACTATTTCTATTTCGAATAAAGATTGGATCTTCTTACTTATACAAGTGTTGCTTTTCACTACGAAGCATACGTTAAGAATTCAGTTGCTTTTTGTGTCTAAAAAGCAACAAATTCTACTTTCTCACCAAATGCTTTCGATAAAAATGTCCTGAGTAAAATTGAAGACCGGAATCAATCCCAACAAGATGGAAATTACCCATGAAAGTGCCATCAGACATGCGATCATTTTCATCGATGTTTCTTTTGCAAAAGGCCTGCCAAAACAAAACTCAAGAATTTTCATTGCCTAATTAAATAAAATTCATTTTATTTTATGTTTGTTTTTTATTTATTTTCTGTAGATTGTAGACAATCGAGGATGAAAATGTTTCAAAAATATCATGGCTTGTGTAAAAGCATATAAACAAATTTACCTCAGTACAGTTTTCATTCGAAATCCTGTAACAATGGTTAGAGTAAATACAGAACTTTCTGATCCAATCAAATACAGAGTTCCAAGAGCAGAACACGTGAAACCACTTTGAAATTGTTTGTACGTTTGCGCATAATTCTTTGTTATTGTTGCATTCTTGATGCAAATGGCCAATATATATATCTGTAAAATAGTATGACATTTATTATTTGTTATGAACTTAAATTCAGATCAAGTATTTACGAGAAATCTCGATGTGTTCTTTGAACAATATTAGATGAGTATATCATGATAAACTAGTTCGCTAAGATTTCTTAAAAATTACGAAATGCTAAGTTGTTGAAATTAACAAAAAAATGCTATAGTCATATTTAGCAGAAATATTAAATACATTTATATATAGTTTTAAATCAGCAAAGTTCAAATAAATAAGACTACAGGGATAATTATACTAAATATTGTTTACTTACCCCTACAAGTAAGTCCGAGAGTGATAAGTTAAATATCAAAGATTTGTTTATTAATTCAATCTTTGAAAGTTGTTGTTTAGGAAAGAAGATGTTTCGAATCGATCTGCTTGCCACGAATAAATTTCCAATAACAGCAAACAAACCTTCATGAAAAGTTAACATATATGAGATATAGCCAAGTACCTGGCAATACAAGACAATTCTGTCAAGAATACAGCTTGGCACAAACATTAAAGCTAAAGTTTAATGATTTTGGAAAAGAAATGATTATAAACACAAAAAAATAAAATTAATAAAATAAAATAGTAAAATATATTTTTTACTCTCTAGAAATTGAAATAATTGTTTTCAAAGTACCAATAATAATATGAGATGCTGAGTAGGAATTCGAAATTAGTATTCATCATCATTCATAGCCAATACGATCAAAGATAATTGAAGCTACGTATGTTAATTCTATTTCATAATGTATAGGATTAAATCAGTTAGCACACTGCATGATGAGACCAATGACCAAAAAATCCAAACTAAGATTTTCCATGAGAAATTCAGGAAATCACAATATTCAAATATCATGAAAACCTAAGAAATTACTTTCAATGGACGAACTTTAAAATATAGATAACTCACTGATAATCCATATTGATGCAACAACGTATTCGTTGCTTATCATTAGATCAATATCGGAGAGAGCACTAGGAATACATCTGTTAAGACTTTCATCAACACCGCTCATGCAGTCCTTTTCCCATCGCAAATCTACTCAGTCAAACAAGAAATTTGGATTTATTTACATAAAAACCAACCGTTAAATCTAGACATACAGGACACATCAGCGTGGATATTGAACAAATGGTTTGTAAATTTAAGAAATAAATTAATTGAAATCTCAATTTTGAAGGTGTCACCTTGCAGAAATAAACAAATAACAAAACTGTTATTAATATAGGCGATAGTATCTTGCTTTAACAAGAATAGCGTTTATATCGTCAAATGTCATAGATAGAGCTTTCAGTAAACTGCTTTATAAACTCGGATTATATGACGAACCTGTTTTTTTGCTATGAATTTGGGTTCTCCTGTATCTTTGCAGTAGAAATGGGTTTTATTACTACAATCCATTTCATCGCTTGTATCTTCGCAATCCTGTTATTATGTATGGAGAATTGTTATCATTAGCTATTCATTTTTAGTATCTCAGCTTATTCAATAAAGTAATGTGATTTGGGGGCAAGCTTATGGCCTATCAATTCACCAAATGATCAAGAAATTGGTCTAAATTCGTTTAGATAACTTCATTATCAAAGTACACAATCTCTGTTTTATTTTTAGTCGTAAAGGATTCTGTAGACCAAAATATGCAAAACACCCCACACAGAAATTTCATTTTCAATAAACTAAAATATCACAAACATAGATTTATGAACGTTGTAATATTCAGGAATCAATATTATACTATTTGCCATGAGTATAAAATATATATATATTTTAACTTCACATAGATCGAATCTTTGCAACTCATAGTTCTAGGCAAAAATATTCTGGGATTTAAATTAACCATATTGGCTATTGAATTTTCTGTGATATTCGAATATTTTAATTCTGATTAAATTTTTACCTTTTGATTGTTGCACACCGTCGTATTTAATACATGCAATGTAGATCCTGAATTGCAATAAAACCTGCAAATAAAATTATTATTAAATAATATATGTAACTAAAAATATCAATACAAGAAATCTGTTTAATTTCCGGGATTGCAATATCAAAATCTTTGGTGATTCCATTTGTAGTAAAGTTTCTTTATTTCTACGAGCTGTTGTATTTAAGCAGCTTGTTTTTGAGTATTTAATTGGCACTAACAAAGAAATACAAATATGGCTGATTGTAAAATATTCGAACGTTTATTGCCAAAATATTTCTTCTGACTGAAAACACAACATAACCAGAAAATACCTATTTGGGCAATTTTTCTCATCTTCTCCACCAACGCAATTTTTTATTCCATTGCAAATTTGAGAGGAAACGATCCATTCTCTGTCATCACACGCATAGATACTCCTGCCAATAAATATTATACAATAATTTGTACTCGATGTCAAGGGGGAAGCAGAATCTCAACGAGGTAGAATCATTTTTCATGATCGCGCATTTGCGGTTTACATTTATATTGATCATTTGGTTTGTCCATCTATGTAGTTTTGTAGGAATAGACATATCTGCTGAATGAATACATTTTTGAGCTCATAAAGTGCTTTGATCAAGAAGATAAATAACTATTTAACTCAAGATCATATCCCAACCATTCGCCCGATTATTTTCATATTCACATTACAATCACTAACACAATAGATTCTACAAGCAATACGCATTCAAACCTGATAAAATAACCTTTGAGATTTAGAATATATTATTAAAATTTATGCAATAAGATTTATGCAATAAAAGATGCTTTTATATTTGCCCTAATGAATAAATCTAAATATAATCAACTTTTTTGAATTTTCGGGCCGCAATTCATTTAAGCTTATTTTGTTGCTTCTTAATAGTTGTTTGAAAATCAGCAAGAAATCAATGGTAGCTTGCTTTACACTTCAAATAGTCAGATGGTATGAAATGTTAGCCAGAACAACCAAAGTTCTTGAACTTTATTTTTCACTTCCGGAATCAAACGAATCAAGGTGACGAATACTTGAATACTGGCACCATAAAGATATATGGCATGTGTTCCACGTGTTTCAGTCTCATTCAATTATCAACGCAGGAGAATTGAAATTACATGTACAGCAGCTGCAAAAACATTCGATTCCTTCCAGAGAGGCAATGATTGAAGGGACCACCTGCAGAAGTGCAGATTATCTTGCACCGAGGGGGACAGGCTATGGCAACTCCTATGTTCATTATTGAGAAGAAAGATTATTTACATTTCGTAATTTCCTAGAATATTTATTAGAGCATTTCGCTCAAAAAAGTGAATCCAAAATTGTACAACATCAAGAAAAATAACCGACAAAGAAAGAGTGTAAAATCTTTGATATTATTGTTTCCTGTTCTTTATTGTTCCATTTTTAACTGGATAAAACAACAATCTGACGCGTAGGTTCTAGATGTAAATTTGAGTTTCCGAGAGTGCAGACTTTGAATGCTCAACATAGAGTTTTTCTATAATACCATCTCGTTCTTGAGAATATCGATAAGCTGCGTTGCATTTGTTTGACATAGTGGTTCTCAACCGCCAGTCCGCGAACCGTTGCAGGTACGCTGAGGCTTAGTGCCGGTCCGCGAGTGGTGTTGATTTTTTGAAGTCTCAATTGCTTTATCGAAGTTACGTCTGATTAAAACGCCATTTTTCCTCCGCCGTCATATTACTGTTTGATAAGTGCGATGATCGGCCGGCGACGTCTTGTCGCCGAGTAGTCACATTTTTCGCTTTTTCGGTTCCGATTCTTCGCGAAAGCGATTCGTCAAATTTTCCAAGATTCCGAAACAAGACAATCAGCGTGCGTGCTTTTTCCGTTTTGTATGCTTTTCGTCATTAATATTATTACCCAAAAAAAAAGGTTTTGAATATTCTTTGTTTATTCCAGACAACAGTCAAATATTCCACAGCTTTGCCTTGGCATTCAGCAAGATATAAACTTTTTGGGAGTCTGCAGGTGTTCACGGGACGCGCAACAAAATATGATGAACCAATAAACCTCTAGTCTGCAGTCCAGATTTTGATGAAAGAATCACTGTCACAATATTTGAGCTTTCTTGATAACGAATACCCATCACAAAGTAATCGAGCAATCAAACTGTTGTCCGAATATTAAAACAGTTACTTGTACAAAAAAACTTTTTAATCACTAGCTTTAATTAAAACGAAGCAAAGAAATTGACTGCAGAGCTAAGTGTTGCAAAATCTTTTTTTGATGCCTCGTTTGCAATCCTGTTCTGGAAACGAATTAGCAGCAAATTCTCACAAGAGTTACTTCAGTTTGAACCTATTTAGCATGTACACGTTTTTTTATGTGAGATGTTTCCAGGGTGCCTCTTTAGGTGCTCCCAACGAATTCGTACCAATATGGCGCACAACTTGAACATAGTATGTGTACCACGTTAGGGTGGTTCAGATTGTGCGTCATCTTGGTACCAATCTTTCCGGAGCGCCCCTTCTTACACGCATAATGGGTGCCCAGCACTATTATTTTATTTTCGATATTATTTTATGTTACATTATTATGAGAGTGATTATTCCATTATTTGATAGTTTTTCTTCATGTGAAATAATTTTAAGTGGCCATTTTTGTTTTCTAGAAACATAGAAAGTGCCCGATATTGAACTATATTTACGCAAATAAATGTTATTATTTTTGGTTTCATTCATTTGAATTCTTTCCGGTCCTCGAGTATTATTTAATTTTACCTTTCCGCCAGGATAGAAAGGTTGGCAACTACTGGTTTAAACACACGTGAAGTCATATGTGACAAGGCAATGCACCGGGTTTTTAGTAACACGCCGACATGAAGACCCATTCAAGACTTAAACACATTCGCGTTTACAACTTGATTAGTGCAACATAAAATATTTGTCACTGTGTCATGAGGCAAATATTCAAAATCTCGAAATATATTGTCCATTGCACAGCAGTTTTTTTTATAATGAAACGAAACTTTTTGACAATAAATACTTGTTCCCATTCAGTTATTTATTGAAATATAGGAAAATAAAGTTGGTTGCATTTGACAAAAGTCGCAAGCCGAAAACAGGTGTGAAGAGTCAGAGGACATTTTCGGGCATAACGGAAAACCGGCTGTAAGTTTTCAATCAGATAAAAAATGCAAAGACACTGTGAATAGGAATTTCTTTTGTTTATTTTGAACAGAATTGCGTGAGTCTAAATATCTTTGCTGAAACATTTTTAAGCTAGAAGGCACTCACGAACTTGTGTATAAAGGGATCTTCAACAGTTTCCCTGGAACACAGTTAATTCAGAGCGCTATAAAGAATTTATTGTAAAAGAATTGTAAGAATTTATTGTAATACAGCATACAATAATGGTATACCCTGAGATTTATTGCTGCACTGTGCGGAATTGGAGTCAGTGTTTCAAGATTAACTGAAATTTGACAAATTCGCAAGACCGTAAAATTACGAATCAAAACCGGGGCAGTTTATCACAAATTTATGTTTGATAATTGCCGTTTATTTTGGAATAGTAATGCTTTGATTATGTTGAAGATCGACGAAAGTGCTAGTTACTTTTATCATTATTAAATTATTATGGTAAAGAATTTTGAATGTCCGTCAAGATCATGGATTGAATATTTTCGCAACAAAAAATCATAATCCACTAAGAAGATGAAATAATTTAACGAGTGGGTAATCGCGAATAGTTTTATATGAACATCTGTGTGAAATTTAAACGACAATTTAATTTTCGAACTCCCACGTTTTTTTTTTTTTGGAAAGTCCTGGCGCACCTGCATCCAATAGTCCATTTTACCAGCGACACTCGTTAAGACCAGAGCGAAAAGAAACGAGACAACTAATATTCTACGCCAAATGTTGCTATTACATAGTTTATTCACGGCCGGGCATTTCGTTTACACCAGGGGTCGGCAACCCTTCGTCGCTCGCGGTCCAAAATTGAAGGTTGCAAGTCTTGATGGGTCGCTCAAAATTTTTAAAAGTTAAAAACCAACAATCAGGGCGCGAAGTCTGTGACAATTCGTTAACTCAACTCGGTCAAA